ATGTTGTAGTGTGGTTGTGGATCTAGGGCATTTTGTGTCACAATCTCAAATTCTCAACTTACTATGACGGAGGTCTAGGGTTTTGGTGCCCCTTTTCGCTCGAAACTGTTGCAATGTTTAAGTAATTTCTCAGTAAACGTCCTCGAAAGTCATTGAAATCCAACTCCATTGGTACGCCGAGGAGTAGTTCTCACAATAGCTTGCCGTCTAATGGCGGTAGTTTATAACGCACAAGAAGTGATAGTGGGGTTTCTTCTACCCGGGCCAACGCTGCGAAACGGACATCATCATCAGTGTTTCCATCAAGTGTTGTGGTTAGAACTGAGCATTTGTTAGCCTTCAAAGATGTTCCCAATTCAAAGAAATTGAATATTTTTATCAGTAAGTTGAGTCTCTGTTGTGTGGTTCTTGACTTCACTAACCCAAAATGGTTTCACTGATGATGTTCCTTGTCCCATTGTGAAAATTTTACATTAGCCGGTCGACCGGCCGGTCGTCCTCTTGGTCAGCCAGTGGTTTGATGAAAAATCAAATCCCTTCGTTGGAGCAGGTGATATCAAAGAGAGTTTTTACTCAAATTTGGTAAAAAAAAAAGTAATGCACTGTTGTAGATGCCCTTAGACAAGGTGAGATGCAACTTTTTTATAATTTTTTTACGAAAAAAATTATATAAATGAAGTTTTTGTAATTATTTTTCATTTTTTACCCTTGTAAAAATCTTTGTTGACCTGCTTTGGTTTTTTCCTCAAATTTTCAAATATCACTGCTTGCTCCTGTTTTGATTCATGATTAGGGGTAAGAATTTGTGACACGACACGAAAACACAATTCGAATTGTATACGAAATTAGTGGGTTAAGATTAACTATTTTTTGACACAAACACATATATGACACGATCCAATAACACAAATATTAAACAAATCAAATTAGTGTCAAATCTATATAACACGAAATTGATATAAATAACCCGTATAATGAAGAATTAGTTACATATTTTAATATTATTTTTATTAAAGAGTATCGTGATATTTTTTAATCTTGTACGTAATTACATTCAATTTATTAAAAAGTATGTAAAATGCAATTTTAAGTTTAATTTAATATAAGTTTTCATTTTTACTTTTAATTGAACTTAACATATTTTTTTTTATCTATTATTTGAATTAATCTAATCTAGTAAAAAATATAATAATAAAATATAATTTTCATAAATTAAAATAATAAAATTAAATATTTTATAAATAATTTCATTTAATAGAGATATTTTTTTTTAGATTGTTTCATTTAATAGAGATTAATTTCATTAAATCTAACTTGTGAATAAATTTTAATTTTTTTTATATATTTAATATTTTTAATTAATAATAAATTTTTTTGACATGACACGAATCAGACAACAATTAAAAATGACACGATACAATAATACAAAATAATAAACAAATCAAATTAATCTTAAAATAACTTTGACACAAATTTGAAATACCAGCCAAGACCACCCACCCCCATCTCCACCCTTATCTATTCAGGATAGATAAAGGCTATGTTGGGGAAGCAACTTTGGGCTAAAATAGTCATATAAAATAAAATAAATTATTTTAGTCAAATAGAACAAAATGTCACATCTAATTCATAATCATTTCATTTTTTTATTACAAAAGTCAAAAAGTCTATCCCAAACAAATTTTTTTAGCCCCAGAATAAGGCCTCATTTGGAAAGTAATAGTGTAATTTGAAAGTCAAAAAGTTACTAAAAAAATCAAAAAGTCTATAACCTATATCAGAAAGTCAAAATTCTTTTTTCTTTTTACTTTTTGCACATATTTTCATAAAAAAATCCAAAAATTATTTTAAATATACAATTTTTTTTATCTCATATTCTAATTAAAAAAATTAAAAAACTACTGAATAACATATTCTTGAATGAATCTCAAAATAACTAAAAAATCAAAAAAATTAAAAAGTCAACCAACAGCGATTTGTAGCTCGAAATATTGTGGCTCGAGAGTGGCCCGAATGTTGTTTTTTATCCTCTGTGGGCGTGTGCTCGAATTGAATGAAGTCTCATAGCCAAGCATCATATTTGGCGGCAAAGCAATAAAAAAAGAACGAAAAAGAAAGACAAGAACAGTGATTAAAGTGAGAGAAGCATGTATCGTTCGTAACCTAACGGCATAGTGAGAGGAGCAATCTGGGTTATTATTACTGCCGTGGGTGTCGGAAGCTACTGCCGTTGTGTCGTCCATAGTTGAAGAAGAGGAGTCTGGACTGGTATTTTTGTTTCCCTTGTGTGATTTGCTCGTCATTTTCTCTTCAACCTATTGTATTTTTGTTTTCCCTGTGTGCAAATCCACTCTGTTTCTCTGCAAATCCATGTCTGCAAATCCACTCTGTTTCTCTCCATTCTTAGCCAAGAAAAAACAGTAATTGATAATCACAACTTCTTCTCAATTGATATGTATTTATGTCCTCACCCATCTTTCTTCTATGCTCTTCCTTCAATGGTGGCCTGAGAGGTCTCTCTTACAAAATCTAGCTTTGTCTGCAACTGGGGTCTTGTTTTCATGGCTAAATCAAGAGTACCCATTAATTGTTGATTCCCTTTTCTTTCCTAGCCTTCAATTATTTTGTGTCTTTCTTTATTCGTTTGTGTTCTTGGTCATTGGGGAATTATCTTTTCTTGCCTAAATGTAGAGTTGTCATGAATTTTCTTGAATTCTTTTTTCTTTGTTTGTTTTAATTTAACTTGTTCACAGAGATGTTGTCTGTAATTGCAATATGTCAGCTTCACATGTCTCCTTATTTGATTCCATAGCATTAGAATTTTGGGATTTTCGAATTATAGTAGGATTCCTGTGATACCCCTGTTTCGTAATATGCTAAATTGGTCCTTAATTTGAATATGATTATGTGTTCAGCATGACTTTACGTGCCATTATGTGATTTTGCAATTCTATCTGTTCACTGTAGGAATATCTGTTTGAGTAAACTACTTTGGGAATTAAATTGAGGGCCCTATCGGCCACAGAACCCGAAATTGATCGCGCCATTGTGATTGGCGTAATTTTTAGAGCCTACGGTGGAGTTTAATTGAAAATTGATTTGGGTCAGATTAAATCAATTAAATTGATGAATTAAGTGCCCAAATATTTTATAATGAAATAATGTGTTGAGTGGGGCTAAATAGGGTCCTTATTATGATCAATTCCTCACCCTTATATCATTTTGGCTGAAGTTTAACTCTCTAGAAAAGAGAGAGTCGACTTTGAGAGAGAGGGGAAGATCTTTAATTATATCTCATGTAGTGTTTGGTTATGATTGTTTTATTTTATTTTATAGTTATGACTCAAAAAGTATGAAATTATACTGTTTTCTTCTTTAGTTAGTGCATATGGTATACACCTTTTAAGGGGTGTGTACTATAATCTTTCCTTACAATTGGTTTTCAATACAATGTGGCATGTAGTGAACAATTACAATTCATAAGTGGTACAAACTCAATGGTTGTGTTTGGTTTAGTTTTCAAATCAATTTTTGAGAGCCTCAAAACTCAAAATTTGTTTGATTTACAATTTTTTCAAAACTGTTTTCAATTACTTTTTTTATCTCATATCTTATTTTCTTACATTCTACACATCAATCAATTACTTTTTCTCTATCCTCTCTCATTCTCTTACATCTTACCCATCAATCAATCACTTTTATAGTTTAAGATTTAGTAGAAGGAATTTCATCAATTGGTGTCAACTCATGATAACTTGAACCATAAAATAATAGTTTTCATTTAAAATTTATTATTCTCCCTTTGTGAAATGCAAAATAACTAAAGATAACATTAGAAAATTGCCTCCACAACGTAAAGTCATTTGAGGATGATAAGATTTTTACAATTTGTTTTGAATTGTTTTGTTGAGAAGTCTATAACCTTGAGGGTTGTTTTGAGTGGTTAGTGGGTATACTTTCCACACAATTGTTTAAGATTCAACTTTTTAGGTTAGGCCATAAAAAACAAATTCTTCATAAATTTCCTAGTCTTGGCGTGGATGGCCTATCTTTGACAGGACTAGGAAGGGAATTAGTCAAAATATGCGTAAGCTGGCCTGAATACCTTTTACATTGAACCAAAGAGAAAAAAAAAAAAAAAAAGACAAAATAATAAATATATGCTAATTGGGCTCCTTTTTTTTTATCATTATTCTTTGTATTGATAAAGTGATTTGGAAGTTTTATTTTATTTAAAAATAAAAATGTTATGATTATCAAATTAATCTAATTTTTTCTATAAATAATGTAAATGAGGAGTTTTACAAAATAACAATTCCTATTCGTAGCTCGAATGTTGTGGCTCGAGAGTGGCCCGAATGTTGTTTTTTATCCTCTGCGGGCGTGTGCTTGAATTGAATGAAGTCTCACAGCCAAGCATCATATTTGGCGGCAAAACAATAAAAATAGAACGCAAAAAGAAAGACACAGTGAGAGCAATGATCTGCGTTGCACAGTGAGAAGAGCGATGTATCGTTCGTAACCTAGCGGCACTGTACATTTTCGATCTGAGTTGTTGTTGCTGCCGTGGGTGCCGGAAGCTACTGCCGTTGTGTCATCCATAGTTGAAGAAGAGGAGTCTTGACTGGTATTTTTGTTTCCCTTGTGTGATTTGCTCGTCATTTGCTCTTCAACCTATTGTATTTTTGTTTCCCTTGTGTGCAAATCCACTCTGTTTCTCTGCAAATCCACTCTGTTTCTCTACTCATCATTTTCGTTTATATATATGATTCGGTTCAAGTCACTCAAGTTCCCATTATCATACTCAAGCCTGACCCAAATTTAATTCAAACTTTAAATTCTATCCAACCCACACCAAACTACTTCTTTGGACTCTCCTTACACACAACCAATCTTCCCTCCTAGTGGCTATGGTCTTCCTACTACACCGCACCCCAACTTTGTCTCACAGTAAGTCATAACTTTCATCATCATCCCAACTCAACTTAATACTTTCTTACCCCGCAACCCCTCTTCAAGCATTGTCAATTCCTCATTATCTGAAAGTGAATTTGTATGATTATTAATAGATCCCATAGTTTAAAAATATTTATTTAGTTCTTAATTAGTTTTGTAATTGTTTGAAAGTGGTTTGGTATAATTTTTAGCACATCCGTGTGATTTGAAAACAAAGCCATTGAAACTTTGTTTAGATTTTTAGTGCCAAATAAACTTAAAATATTCAAACTGGTTACGCTAAACATACTTAAAATGTTTGGTGAATGAAACTAATTTATTCTACTTTTGGGTGTTTAAGTCTGAACATTTTAAGTTTGTTTTGCGACATAAGTCCATACAAATTAAGTTTGTTCGGATGCAACTCAAATCCAGAATTTTTTGTCTGTAATTGCAAAAAAATTATTGTTCGAATCAATATCAAAGCCAGAGCCATTGAAAAAATTATTGTTCAGATGTAGAGTTGTCATGAATTTTCTTTATCTAATGTAGAGTTGTCATGAATTTTCTTGAATTCTTTTTTCTTTGTTTGTTTTAATTCAACTTTTTCACAGAGATGTTGTCTGTAATTGCAATATGTCAGCTTCACATATCTCGTTATTGGATTCCATAGCATTAGATAAAGATAATTGTTTGTATGATAATTGTTTGTACTCTAAAATTTTGTATTCTATTTAACTTTGAAGGTAGAATGGATATTGATTCGAATAATAATTTTTTCAATGGGAGTGACAAAGTTGAAGAAGAAGATAACAGTCTTTCATTTAATGAGTGTGGTGAAGTTGAAGAACCTAAGAAGGGAATGTATTTTAGCTCAAAGGAAGAGGTGTACGCATTTTATGCAAAATATGCGAAACACTCGGGATTTGCTATAGCTTATAGAACACAAAATTTAACATGTGGTGGGGAAGTTAAGAACTTTGGAATTGAATGTACTAGGGCACGGAACAGAACAAAAATATCAGAAATAAATCCCTTGGAACCATCTTTGTCATAAAAAATTGAGTGTAAAGCAAGGGTAAGAGCCAGTCTACAAAAAGATGGAACATATAAGTTAACCACAGTTGTGCTTGAGCACACTCATGATTTGGTTGCTACTGACTCACGGCATTTTGCAATGAATAAGAGGATTGTTACTCCGGTGAAGAGGAGATTAGAAGTTAACGATGTAGCAGGAATTGGGGTGGCTAAGAATTTTCATTCCATAGTTGTTGAAGCGGGGGGATATGAGGCATTAATGTTTGATGAACGAGATACAAGGAATTATATCAACAATGCTAAAAGGTTAAGACTTGGGGTAGGAGACGCCGCATCAGTTACACATTATTTTCATAAAATGCAACAACAAAATTCAAACTTCTATTCGGCAATTGACCTTGATAAAGATGGTCACATGCGCAACTTGTTTTGGGCGGATGCAAGGAGTAGGGCGGCTTACAAAGCATTTGGGGATGTTGTCTCTTTTGACACAACCTATTTGACAAACAAATATGATCTGCCATTTGCTCCGTTTGTAGGAGTTAATCACCATGGACAATCAATTTTGTTTGGTTGTGGGTTGTTAAGTAATGAGAACACAGAGACTTTTGTTTGGCTATTCAAAGAATGGTTAAGTTGCATGTCAGATACTCCCCCAAAAGCGATAATAACTGACCAATGCAAAGCTATGCAAAATGCCATAGAAATTGTCTTCCCACAGGCTCGGCATCGTTGGTGTTTATGACATATTATGAAGAAAATTCCCGAGAAATTGAGAGGATATTCGCAATATGAGTCCATTAAGGTTGCTTTCAGTAATGCAGTTTATGATTCATTCACAATAGATGAATTTGAGGAATACTGGGAAGCAATGATTGAAAGTTTCAATTTGAATGATAACGAGTGGTTGGGGGTATTATATCATGAGCGACATAGGTGGATTCCTGTCTATGTTAAAGACATATTTTGGGTTGGCATGTCAACTACACAACGAAGTGAGAGTATGAATGCATTCTTTGATGGATATGTTATAGCGATCCCGGGTTTACCCTTGTTGTACAGTGATCCGGACAGGTGTCCGTGGATGTTGGTAGTTGTTTATTATCTTGTTTACGTCCTTTTTACTTCGTTATTGAGTTATAGGATGTGTTGGGCGGGTTTGTTACAGGTTGGTTGAGTTTAGAAACCAAAACTAGTTGCCCAGATTTTGGCCTGTACGCTCGAGCGGGGGTTTTGGCGCTCGAGCGGAGATTACACCCATTCAGTATTTTTTTCCTGTGCAGCGTTGTACGCTCGAGTGTGGTATTGGCCGCTCGAGCGGGGTTGTCTGAGTGACGCTCGAGCTTAGAGTTGGAAGCTCGAGCGGAGGCCTGGTTCTGTATAAATGCTGGTAGAGTGCATCCGGCGCTCGAGCGGAAGTTTGGACGCTCGAGCGGGAGTCTGTGAGTGACGCTCGAGCGGGGTGTTTTACGCTCGAGCGGGAGACTGGGTTTAAGTCCCGAAATTGTGACTTTTCAAATCACTTTTTACTTTCTCTTCTCTCTCTTACTTTTCCAAAATCACCATTGTTGAGCCTCTCACTCTAGAACTCTACCTTCTCTCTAGGTTTTGATCTAGTAGGAGTGATTTGCTCACCGCAGGTAACAACAAAAAAGTTGTTGGATGATTTTGCGAACTAGCGCTTGTTACTTCGTCTTGTTTATCGAGTTGTTGTACATCTGCTTATCGAGTTGTATTTTACATTCTTTAAGTCTCTGCTTTGCTTATTGAGTTGTATTTACAGTTAGTTAGCTTATCGAGCTCTCTGTTTTGATTATCGAGTTGTTTTTGTCCTTACTCGGTTCACTACCTGATTATTACGAGGCAAGTGCTTACTTTTGAACTACGTAAGGCTTGATTCCCATCTTTGGAATACATAGGTAACTTCATCTTGAAGTGAAGCCATAAAACTTTTCCCCGATCAACTTTGTCCATTTGATCATCTCTGTCATCTT